GTGGTCCTGCTGGCCTCGATTTGTACACCCATCATGGCACTCAGCCTGCTTCTCCCTTATTTCATCGTTGCGCACCTTTCTAGTTTAGAAATAAACTGAGGCAAGTATTCAGGTAGAGATAGGCTGTGAGGAGACCACTTCAGAGTGCCCTGTGCCAACATGGGGGGGGGGGCTCCAGCAAAGGAGAAACAGCTGCCCCCTCTGCTAAGGCACCCTTGAGCATGGAGGTGATGCAGAAGCACCTTCATTCCCGCAGTCGGAGTATGGGGGGGCGCTGGTGGAGCTGAGCGCCAGTCTTTCTGAGCTAGTGGGGGCTGAGCAGAGGGATCAGCACCCATGACCATCTGCAGAGGTGCCAAGGCCCTAGAGGACACATATAGGGTGGAGCTCTTCTCTCATCTCACCCTTGAGCCCAGAGGCCATCTAGGGAAGATGGATGAGAAACAGCCTTAATAGGGATTTCAACTTTCATTTTGCTATTTATTCCAAGATGGCTGTTTTAACCCTGAAGAGATGAAGATATCTTTCAGTGGTAAGATTAAAGATTCAAAGCAGTATCTTTGCTGCCCTCCACCCTTCCCCTACAGAATGGAGAGTAGGGAAATTTACAGATAATAAAATCAAGTGGCATTAATTTTGCCTATCGAATGTGGTGAAATAAATTTTGACACTGCTGGGTCACCTGGCTGGAGCATGTGACTCTTGATCTCAGGGTTGTGAGTTTGAGTCCCACGTTGTATTTAGAGATTACTTAACAAATCCTTAGGGACACCTAGGTGGCTCAGCGGTTGAGCGTCTGCCTTTGGCTCAGTGTGATCCTGGGGTCCTGGGATGGAGTCTCCACATAAGGCTCCCCATGGGGAGCCTGCTTCTCCCTCTGCCTATGTGTCTGCCTCTCTCTGTGTGTCTCTCATGAATAAATAAAACCTAAAAAAAAAAACTTTAACAAAAAATTTGACTCTTCTAACATTGTAAACTTTGGGAGCAAAGACTGATGATTAAGTCTCAGGAGAGAGTGTAGTGCAGCAGTTTATTTCTAGCCTTGCTGTGCAACTTTGCTCAAATTATTCAACCCCTCTGTGTCTTGGGTTTCCCATCTGTAAAATGGAGTAATAGTGCTTACATCATGTGGTTGTTGTGAGGATAAATAACTAATCTATTAATTTGACTCCATTGTTAATATATATGAAAAAATATATGAAGCGCTGAGAAAAATGTCTGGCACATTAGACATTATGCAAGCATTTATTACTATTAGGTCATTCTGTAAGACTAGAATGGATCTGGATGCTAAGAGAAAGCTCCTAACAGAATGCACTGGCAGTAGACGATCAACAGACATTAGGAATTGTTTTACCCATAACATCGTATTTTGCACATATAAAATGTTAAGACTAGAGAGGAGGGCCACATGTACAGACATTCCTTATTGCCTATCAACAGTCCCTTTGCCTTTCCCTAATTGCACCCAATTTTGCTCAAATATTAGAAAAAGATCCTTCAGCCTAGGGTAGGTAGAAATGCGTCATGATCAGCTAAAGCAGTCATGGTGATCCTACTCCCCTCTGCTAGCGATGGTGCAGTTCTGGCCAATGGAATGTAAAGGAAACTCTGCTGGGGGGCTTCTAGAAATGGTTTTCTCATCAAAGAGACTCTTGAGAAAGTATTGTCATAGTTCCCTCTTTCTACCAGGATTTGTTTGTGTGGAATTGTAGCTTCCATCTTGTTTGTGATTGTGAAGCAGCAAGCTGAAGAACAAAAGGCCAACATGCCGAGAATGGCAGAGCAAAAACAATCTGTGTCCTTGATAACACTGTTGAGCCACTGAACCAAATCTGGAATGCCTTACTTCCAGAACATTTATGTTACAATAAAAAAAAAAAAACACACACTTCTGATTTGATAGTTAGGAATTTTGTTAATTGCAGCCTAAAAGCATTTCTTCCCATTCTATGTCGTTTATTTTTGGACCTTACTGATATGTGATTCAGCAGTGGTTTTCACATTAGTGTGCATCAGAATCACCTGAAGGGTATGTGGAAACATAAACTGAGTGTCCAAATTGGCAGGTCAGTGATAGGGCCTGGAATTTTGCATTTCTAGTAAGTTTTCAGGTGACATCAGTGTTGTTGGTACAAGGATCACACTTTGACAACCACTGTGATAACTACTCAAGACATTTTAATTGAATTAAATTTACCAAAATATCTACAACTCTTCCTTCTGGTAATGGAGAAAAGAAAGCTACAGAACATTTCTTACAAACATGGATGCAAAAATTCTTAATATTTCAGTAAATCAAACTCAACAATATGTAAAAAGGATGAAAGATCATGACCAAATGGGTTTATCCTAGGAATGCAAGGCTGGTTTAACATTTGAAACTCCATTGACTTTTTTAATTTTTTTTATTTATTTATGATAGTCACAGAGAGAGAGAGAGAGGCAGAGACACAGGCAGAGGGAGAAGCAGGCTCCATACACCAGAAGCCCGATGTGGGATTCGATCCTGGGTCTCCAGGATCGCGCCCCGGGCCAAAGGCAGGCGCCAAACCGCTGCGCCACCCAGGCATCCCTCCATTGAATTTCTTATTAACCATATCATGAAAGCCATATTAATTGGCTAAAAAAGAAAAAAACATACTATCATCTCATAGATTCAGGAAAAGCATCTGAAAAACAACAACAAAAAAACACAACATAATTCCTGATTTTTAAAAAAAAAAAACCTCACTGCAATCTAGGAGTAGAAAGCAACCTGGCTGAACAACAATTAGCATTCATAGAGACCTCATACTCTCCAGAAGATCCCATCTGGCCTCACAGTTTTTAAATATGACTTATATTCTGATGCTCCCTACATTTACATTACCCCAAACCTCTGAGCTCTAGACCCCTGCCCCTCCAGCTTTAGACTTGGACATCTCTCTGATGTCTAACAGGCATCTCAAACTCAACATGCCCCGAACACTTCCCAATCCCCACTCACCTGAGTTCCCCTGTGATGCAGGGCCTAAAATTAAGGCCTGGTATCACGTACTGCCTTGACATCTGGTGAAACTGGGAAGGCCCCAAAATGGCCTTTGACTTCCCCTCCCCACTCTGGTCCCACAGATCTGGGGGCCATAATCAAACACACCTTATCAAGAGGACCAGGGGAGTTCCTGCAGGCCCATGGGATTATTCAAATAAGCCAGTCACACCCTCTGGCAGGAACCAGGGGGCACTCCATTCCCCGATACAACAAAGCCTGCCTCCCTATCCCTGGTGGTTCACTGTTCCAAGCATGACCCTCTTTGGGCCTGCATAGTGTGCTGCATCCTCTCCCAGGTGGGAAGTACATGTGATTAATTACCTAGTCAATCTCATCTACTCAATGCTTGGTAGCCTGTTTGGCTATTCCTGCAACCCTATAACACAAACTGGGTGATCAGGGGGAAATTAAAGCAGCCCCATCTTAATAAATGGTACAGGAAAAAAATTGGGGCATTTTGATTTCTCACATAACCAATCTATCACCAAGTCCTTATTTCATAAGTGTAAACTATACCTGGGACTTAATCCCTTAACACTTCCACTACAATCTCTGTAGTTCAAATCACCATCTCTTGCCCAAACCAGAACAGTAGTCTGTATTGTGGCCTCTACAATCTATTTTCCCCTGCAATCTATTCAGCACAGAGCAAAGTAGTCCTTTTATGACATAGATCTCATCACACCATTCGTTTGCTCAGAATTTTCTAACGGCTTCCTGAGACACTCTTGGGATAAAAGCCAAAGCTCTTACCATGGCCTTGAATGCAAACTCTTCCATTTCATGTGCTACTACTTTCCCTGACAACCCTAACACTCCAGCTGCCCTGAACAGCCTATTCCTTGAATCCGTCAAGCATACTACTGCCTCAGAGCCTTTCCATGTTTCCTTTGCCTGAAATAACCTTCCCCCAGAGGGCAATGTGGCTTACTCCCCTGATTGAACTTCGGACCAGTTGATTTCTGCTCAAGGTCACCTTCCAGGCACCTTAACCACTTTTTATTTATTTTTTTAAATATTTTATTTATTTATTCATGATAGTCACAGAGAGAGAGACAGAGAGGCAGAGACACAGGCAGAGGGAGAAGCAGGCTCCATGCAGGGAGCCCGACGTGGGATTCGATCCCAGGTCTCCAGGATCGCGCCCCGGGCAAAGGCAGGCGCCAAACCTCTGCGCCACCCAGGGATCCCTTAACCACTTTTTATAATCACCCCTACCTACCTTGCTTTTTTCTTCATTGCACCTCATTGGCCCAACTATCATATATTTGTGTACTATTTCCCCCCACCCAATTAGAATAGAAGATCCTTAAAGACAGGGACCTCGTTTAACTATTCCATCTCCAATGCCCAGAATATGCCTGGAACACAGCCGCTATTTGTGGCATGAATAATCTGTGAACAAGAATGCCTCATTTTTCGATATCCTCACCAGATCTTATAAACCTTCATAAATCTCTGGTAATCTAACATGTTGGAAATAGTATATATTTTAATTTGTATCATTTTTTTGGATTGGCCTTTGTATCTCTTTTCTTCCCCTTGAAGGCTATCTTTTCATATTCCTTGCTCAGCCTTTTTCCTCTTGCTTTGCAAGAGCTATTGATACTTTAAAGAAGCTATTCCTTTGTCTGTCATATGCTGCAAATATATTTTCCTAGTTTGCCATTTGCCTGTGACTTTGTCGTCACATTATCAATTTTTCCTTTTTGGCTTCTGGTTTGGGGGCATGCTTAGAAAGTTCTCCCCTGTTTCAAGATCATCAAAGCAGCCATACTTGTTTTCTTCTAATACTGTAATATATATGTATATGTAAAACATTATGATATTTAGATCTTTGATCTATCTGGGATTTTCTTTAGGGCATAAAGAGTAAGGAAGTGATCTAGTTTAAAAGCAAAGTTAGCCTAAAAAAAGGGCAAAAAAAAAAAGCAAATTTAAAATACAATGTATAGAAATTTCTGGATACCATTTATAAAACTTACTGTTTTAATCTTCTCAAAAAATATAATTTAAAAAATAAATTCAAACACTGTTTACTTATTTTCCAATACACATTTTATAAGCACATTTGATACATATATATGTGTGTACATACAATAAAATTCTATTTTCCATAATTCTCTAGAATATTATAATTTGACATTATTATTTTTATTTATTTATTTATTTATGATAGTCACAGAGAGAAAGAGAGAGAGGCAGAGACACAGGCAGAGGGAGAAGCAGGCTCCATGCACCGGGAGCCCGATGTGGGATTCGATCCCGGGTCTCCAGGATCGCGCCCTGGGCCAAAGGCAGGCGCCAAACCGCTGCGCCACCCAGGGATCCCCCGACATTATTATCACTATTAAAATATTTTCCCAAGAAAGTTTGTTTCATTTTTCTGTTATTTTCTCCTTTTCCTGGATCTTGATTTCTTTTTCGTTTTACTATATTTTGCTTTAAAAAGTCTCTTTTCAATTAAGCTCACTTCTTCATGGAGAGAAGATGTCTTTATTCTTAGCAGGAAGGAGAAGAGATTTATTATAAACTGATAACTCCGCGAAAAATTTGATTCTTCATAGGTTGTCACATGTTTACAATAGCTAGAAAGGGAAGAAAAAGAAGTTCTCTTAAAATGACCATTTGACATGTATCTATCTATCCCTGAAACATCCCCCAAACTAGCAAATACATATAGTTAGGCTTAAAATAGAACTCAGAGTTGGAACGAAACTCGGAACAATTTGGTAAAACAGAGGAAAAATGTTAGCACCGTCTCTGGGTCTGCTGCCATGCCAGGATAATAGAGCCAGGTCTCACAATTCCTTACCCACAAGTCCTTCCATTCCAGATGGGCTGCTTCTTTTTACCATGCTCAAGGCAAACAATAGCACACAGGAAGAGATTCTGAGCATATTTTTAAAATAATCCCTAATCCCCACCCAAAATAACACACCAGACATGATAATGTAGCCTATAATCTTGCACTATTATAGAAAGAAGAGATTACAAAGAATTACACTTATCTTAAAAGTAGATCAAGTGCCCAACTACCACCAAATCTCTAATTATGAATCTCCAACACCCCATCTCTAACTATACCAAGGTGTAGGCAATCCAGGGGACAGAGGAACATGTTAAATGGTATCATAGGTTGTAATCAGCAAAAGGCAGACTACGAAATTGTATAGGACACAAGACCTGGATTATTCAACAAGTAATTTTTTCCCTGCAGGGAAAAAAAAGACCTAAAAGGGGAATTTACCAACCCCAACAATTAAGGGATATCTCAGCTACTTGCAAAATAAAGCCCAATGTATGGGCCTTAGTTGGATTGACTTATATTAAAAATTTCATAGCAATTGGGAAAGCCTAAACATTGACTGAATGTTTGATAATATTAAGGAATTACTATTCATTTTTTTAATGTTTAAATGATTGATGTTTATTGTGGTTTTGTTTTTAAAAATACTATGACATTTGAAAAAAAAAAAAAACCTATGACATTTGAGATATGCTTCCAAATAATCTGGAGGCAGGGGTGGAGGAGTAGGTTGGCATGTCCAAAGCAAGTCTAGTAATGTTGACAAATGTTAAGGCTGAATGACAGGCACATTATACTATTCTATTTTTTAATATACTTGAAATTTTCCATAATAAAAAGCTTTAAAAAAAACTTAACCCTACAGAAGATATGAACCCTTAGATATTAAGACTTATATAACATATATGGTCCTAAGTTCCTGAAAGTTTATGCATGCCTGAAAGTTTGTATGTACACCACAAAATTCTGCCCCTAACAGTTGTGACTAGGATAACTAGGCTTAGTTCTCTCACCTGTAAAACAGGAAAAAATAACAGTGCCTACCTCACAGAATGAACAAAAGTATCAAATGAGAATACATATCAAGCACTTAACCCAGTGGTCAGCACACAGTAAGGGCTCAAAAATGTTCACCTCCACTAGGTTCTTTTCAAATTAGTTTTTGTTTTCACTTAAAAATCTTAAGATTACTTTAACAATCTACAATAAAGCCAAACCCTACCATATTCACTAATAGGGCATTTAGCCTCAACTACTCATTGAGGTAACAGAAATCAAATATAAGCCATTCACAGGAATTTTCACAAACTGGTGGCCTCTTGCTTTTCTTTTCTTTTAAATTTCAGCAATTGTAAGAGAGATTCTTCCAGACAAACGGTTATAACAAAAAGGGTAAAAAAGTAATGTTTCTTTTACTTAGGGAAACTCTATTTCTACACCAGAAAGATAAGAAAAGGTATACAAATTATTTGCTCCCATAAGACTTTTAAGTTGAATCATGAACAATACCTTGTAAGAATTACATTCTTTATCACAAACTCAGAAAACTATCCTAGAGTTATAAGCCATAAAACTGAATATAACATACAATTCGTTATTGCCAAGTATTTTGCTGTGCATAGAACATGTGCCAACAGATGTTCTTGAGCCCTGACATGGAAAATAAATGTGTGGCAAATGGATGCTGTCAGAATACGTCCATACAAACAATTTTATGCAAAGGGATAAGCACAGGTTTACATTTAAAAGAAGGGTGTAAAGGTACATTTGAACTTCCTTATGAGAACTTCCTTGTGAGAAGTTCGAATCTATGCAAAAGGTATAGTCTCCCAAGTCCGTATACATACAAAAATAAATAAACCTGCTAACACAAGTTAATGTTTTGGTGGTCTGAAAGATACTAGATGTTCAAATTTGACATATGATTATTTGAGTACTTTTTTTTTTTTTTACTCTAAAGTATTAGTTAAAATCTTTTAAATTCAAATCAAACGTTTGTGGGACGTGTGTGTATGGGGGAGTAAGAGGGCATCCAAAGCCTCTCCATTTCCTATGGATGGCAATTTGAAGTACTTCTTCTTATGGAAGGAAAGAGGAACCACCTGCCCTACTCACGGAGGTCTAGGATAGATACTTGATTAGCCAGTGCCTACAATGGGTTGTTAGACCTAGCTAATTGTCAGTAACTGGCCTACTTACAGATCGGTACTTCTACAAATGTGAGGAATATAAAGGGTATTTAAATTCATGAAGACTGTTAGTTCTGCCTCAGATAAGCATAAACAACTTTTTGTATCTGAAGTGCTCTTAAGGCCTTTCTCTGCTTAGTTCTTAAGGCCTGAGTGTGAATGTTCTCATAATTATTTTACTGTACGATGCTTGTCTCTTGAACCCTCAGACATGAGTCCTTCTGTGGAACAATTCTCTATACAGTTGAATATTTGCTTTCTGAAGCATCAAAACACTTCATTTTAACCATATTGTATGGACATCTTTTAAAACTGAGTTACATGCTATTTGGTTATTTTAAACAGAGTACACAGCATTTCTTTTTTTTTTTAGCCTTTACAATTATGGTATTGTAAGTTGTTCACTTTTACTGTAAAACATTAGAAAATACAGCTAAGAGAAACAAACCCAAAGAGAATGCACACAGCATTTTGGGTCATGCTCTGTGTTATAGCTGAGACCCCATTAGGCTTATTTTGTTAGGTGGAGCAATTAAACAGTGGTCATGAATGAACTTTCAGTCTGCTGGAACTTGAGTTCTTTTGTCTGCTTCTGATTCTGATGCTGGCTCCTCTCTCATTTGTCAAGTGGATGTCATTTATGTTTGCAGTCAAGATGACTATCAGTGGAGCACCTCACAGTCTCCGTCCTTTGTTTCTTTTGATGATTAGGAGTTTGGAAATCAGACATCTCAGCCTGACAGAAACACACCTGAAGGCAGAGTAAGCTGGCTCGGAGTGAGGGGCTCAGGGGTTTTCTGAGAAAAGTGCATTAGCTCTAGTCAGGGACTTTGTGACATGTTTATTGGTTAGCAGGAACCTTTTTGGCTTACTCTGTGGTTCTAGGCTATGGTCTAAATAGGCAAGGTTGACAAACTTTTGGTGCATAAAGTCATGATATCCCTAATGCTTCATCTATAGGTTATAATTTTTAGCCTTTATAGTTCATGCAGAGAAAAAAAATCTCAGCTGTTTCATCTCCAACTATACAAGGTCTATTTGTAACTAATTTTCTTATATTACTGTATTAAATCTGTGAAGATTTAGAAAGACCTAGAAATACACTGATTGCACCATAAAGGTAGAAACTTCCCCCTAACTCACTCAGGACTAATTCCGCAGGCATGAGAGACAGAAGGGCGCCAGAACACCACTTCCTAACTTACAGGTCTCATGCCGGTGCTCCTCACCAGCCAGCACACTACAACCTTTTCTCTTCCTTCTGATGAAATCTTAAAATCGGAAAAAGCCATTGCACTGACCATTGCACAGGAATGTAACACCTCAGACGTGGAGTTGACCCTGGGGTTTGGATTCCAGCCTTTCCCTGTTCCTACTGTAAAGACAGCGCCACTCTGTAGTCATTCTAGACTCAGCTAAACTTTTGGTGAGTAGTAAATTTTCATACAAATTGATTCATTTTGTTATCTCCTAATGTGTTTTCTACATTTTACTTATCTTTGATTGATACTCAACTCAGGAAGAGAAACTCTTTAATAGAAAATTATGTTTTATTTAAAGTAATGATCAGTTACCATGTATTAAGAATTACTATATGACAGACACCAAAATCTCATTTAATTCTCATACTCTATTTTCTATACATTCATTCAGCAAAAAACTGGTGAGCACCTACTATATACTAGGCTCTGTTCTAGCCTCTGGGATTTTTCATTAATTAAGACAGAGTCTCTGCACTCAAGGACCTTATATTCTATTCTAGTGTGAGGAGGTAGACAAAAAAGCAAAATAAATATATAATGATCTATTCAATACTGATAAGAGCTTTAAGAAAATAAATACAGGCATGGGGGGTAGAGAATGATGAGGTATGCATGTGAGGGTGAGGGGAGAGTAGGTGCTATTTTAGACAGGATGGGGAAGTGGAATTTGAGCAAAAACCCAACAGGACTGAGTCCATGTGGATTCATAAGGAAAAGCATTTCAGGCTGGAGGCCTAACATGTGCAAAGGTCTGTGTGGGAAGTGTGCTTTAGCAAGTTCAGGGAACAGTGAGGAGGTCGATGTGAACAGGGGCAGTGAGCACAGAACAAAGGAGGTAAGCAAGGAAGGTCAGAGAATTGTAGGGGCCTGTAGGTCCCTTAGGGTCTTTGAACTTTACTCTGAATAAGATGGGAGCCATTGGAGGTTTTAAGAAGAGAAAAAATATCAGTATTACATGCTCTTCGTGCCATGGGAAAAAGATAAAGATATAAGCTCCCTCATAATTCACTCATAGGCTGGTTTTACAATTGGGACGAGAGAGCTACAAGGATGGTCAACAGCTTTCTCACAATAAGCAAGCGGCAGCGTTGGGATATGAACAGCCCAATTCATTCACATGTCCTCTTCACTGCTGGGAAATTGCCTTATAAACAATTTCTATGTATCAAGAGTGAGATTAGTATAAAATGAAATTAGTATAAAAATATGAAGTCACAATGAAAAGTCTTTATAATCTAAAACTTTTTCCAGCTTTACTGACATACTTTCAACATGCAACGTGTATGTTGTGAAATGATTATCACAATAAGGTTAGTTAACACCTTCCTCCCTAAAACTCTTAAACAATACTCAATGTATAATCCCAATTTTCATGCTTATAAGCCCAACATCTTCTAATTCCAAGAAATAACCTATCTGGTTCTTATTATAGTCAACTGTAATTCTACGTGATTTTTTTTTTTATTAAACTAGAAAAGAATACTACTTCATGCCAAACTAGATATTTCACGATGTTTTTTTTATCCTTTGATTTCTAAAAGCATCACATACCTTCTACAGAATTTCTGTGTGCTAAGCCAATATAGTGAATTCTTGGTTGTCAGTGACTGGCCTTTTTTCTTCAGAATCCCCTGGAGGCCATGTCCGTGGAAACAGGTTCTAGTAGAGTCTCCTTCAGTCCAATTGAACTGAAAACTTGAAGGCCTTTTTTTTTCAACAGTTGGTACTGAATCAACAAGTGTGCTAAATTGTTTTTGTAGATTCACCACCATTTCTGGAAATGGAGGACAAAAGGAAAGAAATCAAATAAAAACTAATATTAAATCATAGATGAGTTTAGTTGTTAGTCAAGTACTAATATTACTTTCTTAGTTTTGATAAATTCATCATGACAATGCAAGAGGACAACAACAGGAGGGAGTTGAAACTGGATGAGGGGCATTGGGGAACTATTTAAAAAAGGTTAAAATGGTAAATTTTGTTATATATTTTTAACACAATGAGAAAAAAATGAACAAGACAATCTACAGGCAATTCTCCACTTTCTCTCTGAAAGTCATACAAATATAGGGTGATTTTAGATTTTGGTGGGAACTTAAGTTCTGTTTTAAAGAATGCAATGTTCCTGAAACAGATTCCTCTGGAGATTTACGGAGGATGATATTTCTTTGGATGAGTGTTGGAATATTTGTTGAAGAAGTAAAATAATCCCTTAGTTTAAGTTTATTTATTTATTTAAGTATTCTCTATACCCAATGGGAGCTTGAAACACAACCCTGAGATCAAGAGTCACATGCTCTAAAGACTGAGCCAGGCAGGTGCCCCTAGGCACACTATTCAGATATTTATTTATTTTTAAAGGTTTATTTATTTGAGAAAGAAAAGGAGAGCAAGAGAGAATCACAAGCAGGTGGGAAGGATAGAGGGAGAGGCAGACTCCCTGCTGAGCAGGGAGCCCAATGCAGGACTTGATCCCAGGACCCTGGGATCATGACCTGAGCCAAAGGCAGACAGACACTTAACCGACTGAGCCACCCAAGCACCCCAAGTCAAGATATTTAGCTTTTCTTTCTTTCTTTTTTTTTTTAATTATTTATTTATTTATTTATTAGAGACATAGAAAGAGGTAGAGAGAAGCAGGCTCCTCGAGGGGAGCCTGACATGGGACTCGATACCAGGACCTCATGAGCCAAAGGCAGATGCTCAATCATTGAGCCACCCAGGTGTCCCGATATTTAGCTTTTCTACAACAGTATTGCTACATGGTGTTAAGAGAAAATACAACTCACCTCTTCTTTTATATACTACTGCTTTGTCAATGGATGAGTGGTAGAGGGGCTTTTCTCTTTTCCATAGATACCTGTACAATATAGAAAAACATTTGGAGCAGGTTGGAGAAGAAATATATATAATGGTTTTCTGTTTTCTCATGGTATGAGAATTATTTATAGATTCTGGATACAAATCTTTTACCAGATATGTAATGTACACATATTTTCTCCCACTGTATGGGTTCTCATTCTCTTAACAATGTCTTCTGAAGAGCAGATATTCTTTCTTCTGATGAAGTCCAATTTATAATTTTTTTTATAGATCATACTTCTGGTATCGTATCTACAAAATTCTGCCTAACCCAAAGGCTGCAAAGATTTCCTGTACATGCCTTTAAATTTTCCTCCATGTTCTTCCCAACATCTTCCATGACAATGGGAAGTCATCAAAGCAACCTCTTAAGCTGTTATTAGGTTTTCAACTACTGTTTACCAGTGTTTTTCGTAATCTCATACATAGGGACCCATACTTAGCTACAGAAATTGCTTTAATAACCTTCATCTGACAACATGGAAGATGATGATCAGAATAACAGGCAGAAATTACAAATTTATGTCAACAGTGAGGGTGAGGTAGGGTAAAACAGGCAGGTAACAGACCACATACACAGGGGCTTTGTGCCCAAGCCCTAGTCAGCAGTGACTTACATATGGTATCTCACTTAGCCCAAAGCACCTACTCTATACAGAAGAATCTTGGTAATGTATCCCCTGGACAATCTCTTCCCTGACCCCTGGGCTCTCCCTGGAAGATGCCATTTTGAAAACAGACTCTCTTTGGTCACTAAATTCTCCCCAAAAGAGTCACTAAGTCTAAGATGTGTAACTGAACACTGTTCAATTTGGGCTCTAATAGCTATGTCTGCAGTGTAAGTTGGTGCTCAGCTTGAGCTAATGAATTCCTAGTTACCAATGAGATGCCTGAGTGGCATCATTGTTGAATACCTAGCCTCTCAGTATCAGTCAGGACAATCCCTGTTGACGCCATAAAAAGGAAGACCCAGTGGCTGGTTCTCCAAGATAGCCTAAGACAACAGAATGAACTTCTGTTCTTCCTGCTACTCTTGTAACCACTGAGACCCAATGACTAAAGAGACATTCCTTCTCTGACAAGGAAGAGGAAGGACCCAGTTTCCTGGGTACCCATAGGCTGTCAGAATAAGTTCACACTCCACCTCTTTTTTTTCATCATTGTGTATCAAACCTGAATAGTGAGAAACTACTACACCTCTCCCCTTTTTGACAAGGAGCCTCTTCCCCACAGTGTTTTATTCATCCCCAAAGTCTGTTTCTCTATTTAAAAGCTCTCTTAATATAGAGGATAAATAATCCAGTTCTACCTGTGAAAACTAAATTTAGTTCTCAGAACACAAAGCGGCATTACTATCCCTATTTCATTGATGAGGATCCTGGAGCTGAATGAATTACCATTTTAACTAATTTGAAGAGCCTTGATTTTTCTCAAAGTATATAAGGTTAGTTGATCAAATGAGTATTACCATAAGGTACATGAAATCCAGAGACGTTAACTTTTTCTTTGAGTCTTGTAAAGACTCAAAGTTCTAAGTATAGATATAAAACTGTTCAGAGATTAATAGAAAGATCAATACTCTATGTTAAGATATAGCATCTATGAAAATTTATGAGCAAACTAACTTTCAGTGCACAGAGTCTAAGAAATCAAGCAACTTGCCTGTGGTCACACAACTTGTCTTAGTGCAATCAGGATTCAAACCCAGCACTGTCTCTACAGCCATCCTCCTTCCACCCTATCAATGAACCTACATCAGAATGAGAGTTCAAAGTCAAATGGCAAGACTGACTGAATTAAATATCCTCTCTTTGTGCTTTCCTCCATTTTGATTTTTGTAGGGATCTTTATTTGGGGGGAATATTCCAATTATGTATGTCACAGGCTGATATTTATAATCTTTCTAATATTGGAAAACAGATGGGAAATGATCAACTTTAAGAAAGAAAGGAGGAGGAATATGAGAAATATAAGTGTGACTCATGCAAATTATAAAAAATTAATAACTAAGTATAATGTGGTACTCTGGATTGGATCCTGGATTGGAAAGAGGACATTAATGGAAACACTGGTCTAATCCAAATAAAATCTAGAGTTTAATTAATAATAACATACACACAAGAAAAAGTTAATGAGAACACAGGGGTTAGTATTTGTAGAAAAAATGTAATAATGCTAAGGAGTCTAACTGATGAAACTTCAGCTTTCAAATACAAGGTAACAGATTTGGAAATCAAGCAGGTAAACCTAAAACCAGAAGAGACAACATACTTAGCCCTGGCTTCCTCCCACTTTTGTTTTTTCTCATCAATAGATCTCTTCATAACTTGGTACCATTTCCTGAAATCAAACCATGGCTTATCTGAAAGAAATGAAATCCTTGATTAGTAACCAAATCAGTCACATTTATAGCCATATACATTACTCATTTGAGTCTTCATGCACTGATATAACTAAACATTATGGAGTCACTGTCTCCTTTAACATGACTCCTGAATTCCTATCTATACTGTGGCCCTACCCAGATTATACTAAAAACTTTTTTTTTTTTGAGACAGCATAAGAAGAGACATTAGAAGATACCTTGTTCAACCTTTTACTTTGTGTAGAGGCTGACATGAAGCAATGTCACAAATTGACTTCTAGCATTAAATCCAAGCTCCTAAAACCAATGAACATACATGTGAAATCTTGAAAGAAAAGTCAAACTCTTAGAGAGTAGAAAAGTAGTTTCCAGGACCTGAGGGATGGAAGGCTGATACAAGGGTACAACATTTGGCTTTAAGATAAATAAGGTCTGAGAATCTAATATAAGACGTGGTAACTGTAGTTGATCATACTGTATCACATCAAGGAAGTTTGATAAGGAAACAGGACTTAAATGTTTACAAAAGGGACTCCTGGGTGGCTCAGTGGTTGAGCGTCTGCCTTCAGCTCAGGGCTTAATCTCAGAGTTATGGGATCGAGTCCTGCATTGGGCAGGGAGCCTGCTTCTCCCTCTGCCTGTGTCTCTGTCTCTCACGAATAAATACAATCTTAAAAAAAAAAAAATGTTCACACACAATTACAAAAGATAAAAATGTGAGGTGATAAATGTGTCAATTAACCAGATAGGAGAATCCTTCCCCAGTGTACAAATATATCAAATTATCACAATATGCACTTTAAAGATCATATGTTTTTATAGGTCAATTATACCCAATAAAGCTGAAGTTTAATTAAAAAACAATGAACATAGAGGATCCCTGGGTGGCGCAGCGGTTTGGCGCCTGCCTTTGGCCCAGGGCGCGATCCTGGAGACCCGGGATCGAATCCCATGTCGGGCTCCCGGTGCATGGAGCCTGTTTCTTCCTCTGCCTGTGTCTCTGCCTCTCTCTCTCTCTCTCTGTGCGACTATCATAAATAAATAAAAATTAAAAAAAAAAAAACAAAAAAAACAATGAACATAAATCCTAGTGAGGGAGCTAAGAAACTAGAATTGAATTTAAGAAATCTTATCTACCCAACTTTACCGAATTGCTCTTAGACCAGACACTGTTAGGCACTAAAGATATATTAAATAGGGGATGCCCGGGTGGCTCAGCGGTTTAGCTTCACCCTCAGCCTTTGGCCCAGGGTGTGATCCTGGAGTCCTGGGATCGAGTCCCACATCAGGCTCCCTGCATGGAGCCTGCTTGTGTCTCTCATGAATAAATAAAATCTTAAGAAAAAAAATACATTAAATAAAACATAAAAAAATAAAAAGATGGCCCCTCCCTCTAGAAACTCACAGCCTACCTATCTATCTTTCTATCATTTATGTTGTGCTTTACTCTACATCAGCTATTCCTAGCACTTTACAGGTACCGGCAGTCTAACAGGGATAGACACATTCGGTCCCCCAGTTTTAATTCCATGTGCTAAACCTGTAACAGATGTGTGAGTAGGAGTGGTTGTGGCAGGAGTGATTAGCTCTGATTGGAAGTGGTGAGGTCAGGAGTAGGTGTGAAGAGAAAGTAGAATCTTGAAGAATAAAGGTGGATGTGAGAGGGATTGAGGGAGGTGGGGAAACATTTCAGGTAGAAGGACCAGCATGAGCAAAAGTTGAGGCATTTGAACAGATGGTACAGTCACAAAACTGCCAGTATGTTCACGGTCTAGTACAGCTAGTGAAGGGAAGCTGGGAGTAAAAAAGCAGGCTGCTCTTTACACATGGTAGGAAATCAGTGAAGTTTAGCAGCCTAGGTATATAATTGGATAATTATATGAAGAAATAATTCTGGTAAAAGGTACAATTTGTATACATGTGTATGTATACGTGTACTTGTATATTTTTCAAAGTTTCTTCCTCACATTTATTGCATCTTTTAATCCACCACTTACAATCACTTTGAATTTGAATGATAAAAAATTAAATACCTTCTTTGTTCTTTTCATTATATTTCTCAGCAATATTAGACAAAGTCCTGGAAAAAAGCAAATCAATTTATTTTGAAATCACTTGTTTGAAGATAAATGTTGAATTCTTCTGAAAAAAATGTATGGAATACTTGAAACTGATGCTAATTTTTAATGGAGAAGCAATCACTATACACCCTGCCATTGTTTATTGGCATTTTGGGAGAAGAGACCCTTTTGTTTATTTTCCAAAATAAATAAATAATAATCTTTGAAGTTACATAGCACCAGGAACCTAAAGGCATACAGAAAAACTGCTACGAGATTCCTTAGGATTTGTGTATGAGGATTTAAACTCAGGAATCAGTGAAGCAAGAACATGTGATATACCTAAAAAATAGGAATAAAACATGACACAAAGAACTTACTAAGGTAGAATTAACTCTCTGACAGCTAACTGAGTCAAAATTCATGTTAGAAGTAATTGTCACTACTAGTCGGTGTTCAACAAACAACAGAGGGCCTCAATTTTCTGTTGAGATAATATGTGGATTCCTTTACTCTGAATAATCAGGTGAAAACAGTACAATTTTTTCTTCATAAAACTGACATACACTTACCATTCTAAATTGTCATCCAATAAAAAGAGCAGTTTCAATACTACTACAATGACAGCAACAGCTTGAACATCATATTTAACAGTTTTTGCCATTTTAGCTATGGGATCAAATGTCAGAAAATCCACTTCTCCTATTCCAGTCATTTTTACCACCTGGCAGGTTAAATCATTCATTTCATCTGTTGAAGAATAAAACAGTAAAATATGAATTAAATTCTTTGCCTAACTAGATCATATTAATGTGTACCTCTGTAAGATAAGCTTTATCATCTTAAAACAGGGTACCATGCTAGAACTCAGGATGTGAATAAAATAAACCAAAAAATGATATCTGTATAGAAACACTAATGGTGGAGTCCTGGCAAGGCCTCTCTTTTCCTATTTGGACTTCCTAAAAATATCTACTATGTATAGGATACTTTCTGATACCTAACACACACCACAGGCTAGTTTTCTATCATCTTATACAACTCTCCTGTCTGTGTTTCTATAGCAATTTACATTTACTTGAAACAAAATCCCCTATAAGACCAAAAGCCTGTCTAGGAATGTACACTAACTAGCCGGCTGGCACCTTGGCTAGCACACTAGAAGCCTCAATGTATATTAAACTTGATGTACTGTTTTCCCAAAGAAATTATATGGTACCTTAGCCTCCATCCATTATTCAAGGCTGAATAACATGGCACTTGGAACCAGAAAGCCTACCTAGTGCCTATATATTTAGGCTTTCCAATTTTCAGCTTTGTGACTCTGCATTAGTCACTTAACTTCAGTTTCTTCATTTATAAAATGGGTTATGAGAGAGTAAATTGAGATTAAATAAGATAGTGTAAGTGAATATACTTTGAAAACTCTAAATTACTAAGCACATTTCTTTACTCAGTAATCTAAGTACTTAAGATTTACAACGTTCTATTTTAATTAATTTTAAGTGAACAGCTATTATTTGGAAGAACATAATAAATTGTACTGAATTAAGTTGCATTTCCTACACATATTCAGTCACCATGTCCTGCGGACTCTAGTCCCCCTCTCCATCCAACAGCAAGCATAGGAACCAGACCTTGCCATGAGCCAGTCTGTATCAGTTACATTTTGATAATCCCTTATGTTCTATTACCTAGTACTACATTTGTATATATATATATACACACACACATATATATATATATATAACATATATATGTTACTACATTTTTATTTTTACTGTTGGAATTACACTATATATACATATATAGTTTTGTATATTGCTTTATTAACATATGTATTTTCCTTCCCTATTAACAATATCTTCAATCATTTTTTATATTGCTTAAGCAACAGGATAGCCACACCATGTTTGTATTTTCTCTTAAGAATATAAGTCCTGAATTTCTCACATTTCTAGTTTTGTGAGAAATTCAGGGATGGATTCTATCGGCAGATTCCATCAGGTTACCTGCGTCTTGGTATACTGTGAACAAGGTCTGTGTTTCGTTGCCTTAAAGAGTTCACTGTGATCCTATCAGACTTTGACCTCCATTTGTTTTAGGGACTGGAAATAGCATTATGTTACCAAACAATAAAAATATTACCATAAGTTAGTTAACTTCTGCCATACTGTTTATTAGAATTCATTATATAATAATCATGCTTCATGTAAATGATGACTTGCTGTTTTTTTTTGGGGGGGAGAGGAAGGTGTCCAGCTGATTAATTATTGAAACATTTATTACTTTAATTGTACTCAGCAAACTTACTGTAAAAACCAAGCATATCCCCAATCAATTATTTATGAACAATGTCCTTTTAACATTTTTCAATAGCCTGAAATATCTTAAGAAAGGATTCTGAAATTAAGCCTCATGTTACGATGGACTCTGTCAGGTGGGTCTGTGATTTGAGAGGATTCTATATTTTGCTCATTGTAATTCTACAATTCTATAAAAGCTTCCTCACCACATACACCACACTTACCAGGGAGATTGACTTCCATCAAGTATTTCATACACAAGATGTTTGGATGAAGATAGCAGTCTTCAGTTATGTCTGGAAAACGTGGCAAATCTAAGAATTTGGCAATTTCAATTGTTTTTTTATAGATATCCTCATAAGTAGGCCAAGACTGAAACAAAAAATAATCAAGGTAGCAACTTTTGCAACATAAACTATTTTTAAAAATATTTTCTGATTTTAGAAGTAGTATGTATTTACTGAATGAATTTTAGAATGTGGAGAAAAGTTACATTAAGGGGAAAACACCCATAAATCCCTAATATCCTAACAGCAATTTAAAATAGTAATAACACTAAATTAAAAAACCACTAAAAAATTCCATTTGGCTCATAAAACTCTTACTGGTCTTCCCCATGATAGAGTGAAATCATTACTCCTTGCCAGTCACAGAAGAACCAGGGGAAGGGACAAAGCTGTGACCCAAACTAGAGATCTAAAGCCGTCAGGACTGCTCTACAGAACGACTTCCCTCTCACATTTCCTCGCCACACCCTCTCATTCACCTTCAAGTTCATGGCTAACAAATTTAGCTGTTTCACAATATTCAGAAGCTTCTATGTGGGAGCTAACACCAGGGTTTAAGTCTAATAGTTAAAAATGCATAATCCAGGGACACCTGGGTGGCTCAGCGGTTGGGCGTCTGCCTTTGGTTCAGGGTGTGATCCCAGTCTGGGGATCGAGGTCCACATTGGGCTCCCTGCGGGGAACCTGCTTTCTCCCTCTGCTTATAAATATACACAATTTAGGGATGCCAGGGTGGTTAAGTGTCTGCTTAGGTCATGATCCCAGGGTCCTGGGATTGAACTTCCCTGTGTGTCTCTCTCTCACAAATAAAAATCTTAAAAAAAAAAAAAAAAAAAAAAAAACTCTGCATAATTCAACTTCATATTCTCTCATGTAACTGCATATAAAATTGTCTTATAGAATCCAGGAAAATCTATGAGCTACTATTAATAAATTTGTTCTGTTCACTTTAAGATTACCTCTGTAGCTCATCTAGTATGCTATTTTTATTTTTGCAACTTATAAACATCCTTGAAATTAATACTACATATGATTTTTCCTCATTTCCTCATCCATTTACATAAAAACACTTAATTTGGAATCTATGCAATGTACTTTGGGAAATGTAAAGATGAATAAAACAATGCCTTTAAGGGGTTTATAATCTAGAAAGGGAGATAAGGTATGTGAACATATAGTATAAAATAGAAAGTTATCAAGTATCTCTAGTAAGATGGGTTTTTTTTGTAAGTCTTGTGGAATTTTGGAAAAACTAACATTTCTGATAGGGTAGAAGTCTATTACAATTGCGCCTGAAGACAAACATTTGGGAAACCTGTTTGGCAGTATTAAAGTTGAGCACGTGTGCATTCTGTGGCAAAGCAATTCTACCCCTAGCTACATATCCCCAAAATAAATGTGCATGATGTCCAGGGAAAGAAATGGATTTGAATGTTCTTAGCAACACTATTTGTAAAAGCCCCAAGCTGGAAACTACACAAATGCCATTAACGGTAAGAAAATTTTGATATAGTCTCATAATTGAACATTTTATAGCAAGGAAGTGAATGCTCTGCCTACAACGACATGAATGAGTCTTCAAAACATCATGTTAAAAGAAAGCAGACAGACGCAAAAGAGAATGATTCCAGATATATAAAGTACAAAACTCAAGCAACTCAGCACCAAGTTCTATAGAGTGAGAAGCCAGGGTAGTGACTACTCTGGAGTTGGGGAGGTAACAAAGGGAGTGAGCATCAGGGTGGAGCTTCAGGGGTGCTAGTAATGTTTCTCCATCTAGGGACTGGTTCAGGTTGTGAAAATTAATCAACTATGTACATTTGTGATATGCTTACTTTTCTGTGATCTAGTTTACCTCAAAAAGTGGCAAGGAAGGAAAGATAATACCAGGTAAGTAAAACCATGTTGTGTAATAGAAATACTTCATACATCACTTTGTAGGAGAAATAATCTAACTGGCCTATTCAGAATTGGGAACACCCTTAGAAGTTTATGGTCCAACTTTACAAAATCCCTAGCAGGCAGATGTCTGACCCCTCTTACAAATCTCCAGGGACAGGAACTCAATACCTTCCCCAAAGGTAGTCTATTTCACTGTTAATGGGTTTAATCATTAGAAAGTTCATCTGTATTCTAAGAAAATATTTTCCCAATTTGAGCTAATAGTCAATTAAAATTCCCCAAGTTGCTTGTGAAAGTACCGCTGTTAAATCATGTCTTGCCCATCTTCTAAATGTGTGAGTGTGTTTGGGAGCCAACTAAAGGAATAAATATTTCTCTGCTAAATTTTACTTTGCAAATTCATCTCATATGCAATTGTAAAGCACAAGAAAATGCTTTATAATGGTACTGGGATATGCTTATAGAAAACAATTACACTGTTAATTTCTAGAAAGTATAAGTGTGCTTGATTTTACTTTGCCTGAAGCTACAATCTCATTTGTATTTATTTTGCATTTATTTTGATATCACTATTTCAATATCTAAACTTTCAAGTTTTATTAGAAAAAAAGGCCTTTGGTTTATGCTGTATTAACAAATCATCAACCTGTAGCTGAAGACTACAAAATAAATTTCTGTCAATCCAAAGTAACAATGTTGCCTTTTAAGTTTTTTTTAAATGTTGAGATGGAATAATTCTACTTGTACACTCAAGTACTATAAACTGTATTCTAATCTGTGAATTTAAAAGAGAAAAAAAGGAAAAATTCTCAGTGACCTTTGGGAGGAAGTAGTCTTTTTTCTTTATAAAATGAACTCATTTAGAATGTTGCTTCATTTTGCACAAGATCTGAAGCATCTTCTCAAGATAATTTTAACATTACTGACAAGATTTATGGCAACTAAATCCTTTCAAATAATCCTTTCAAATAATGCAGGTAGGAGACATAGTTAAGCACTTTTATCTGCAAACAAAATAAGCACTAGAGCAGTGAATGTTTCCCTTAGAAAAATAATCATCTCAAAAAATCAATTTAATGTATGAATTCATGGACTAGTAATTGTAAGGAATGAAAAGGAACTGTAGTAAATGAAAAGGAATCTGTTAAGCCACAAAGATTTAATGTATTCTCAAATGTCCACCCAAGGGATCCTGGGTGGTGCAGCGGTTTGGCGCCTGCCTTTGGCCCAGGGCGCAATCCTGGAGACCCGGGATCGAATCCCACATCGGGCTCCCAGTGCATGGAGCCTGCTTCTCCCTCTGCCTGTGTCTCTGCCTCTCTCTCTCTATCTGTGACTATCCTAAGTAAAATAAAAATTAAAAAAAAAAAACAAAAAAACAAATGTCCACCCAAAAAGCTGATATGTCAAACTAAGTATCTGGTGAAAAATAGGCTACCATTCTTTCACATGTGAACTGAAGATAAAATAATTATTAATAATGAAGGTCTATAGATTTATATTATAGTTTACAATAGGTTCTAGATTCTCGTAGTCTCAAGTCAGTATGGTAGACTTCACTTTCAACATTTTCATTTATTCTAAACGGAATTTTCCTTTTTGAATAACGCTGAAAACTTTTTTTTTAAGTGCCTACAGAGTTTTCAATATCATTCTTATTTTTTTACCAATCTTCAATCATTGTTATGCATATAAGTTGTTTCCAATTTATAAATAACTATAAATAACCCCATGAATGTATTCTAGCAACACTTAAATTTGATTATAAAAACAATACATGATTACAGAAAATTTTCAAAATATAAAATACTATAATAAAGACAATAAAAATTGCTTAGAGAAAGCCATTGTTAGCATATTGGAGACTTTTCTCTCAGCTGTTTGGGGCATATCCACATTTATAACACTGGGATTTCAATTCAACAGCCTCTTTGACACCTCCACTAGAATATCTTTCCATTATGTCAAATGTACATGTTCCAAACTGAGTTTTTCATCTTCCATACCCCTGAATCTTATCCCTCCATCAGAGTTCCTTACCCTGTCATAAAACCCAAACATTTAGGAATCATCCTTGGCAGCTCCATTTCCTTGCACACCATATGCACACGCACTGTTTACCTCAAAGCTGAGTCTAGAATGCTGCTATTTCTTATCACATCCACAACTGTTTCCTACACTAAGCCTCCAGAGTGGACTCCCAACCAAACAGTATCCCCATATCTGCTTTTGCCACTTTGAAGCTACCAGCAAGAGTGATATTTCAAAATGCAAATCTGATATGTCACTCCTCTACTAAAATCTAATCATTTATCTTGCTCTTAGGCTAAGCTCCCATCTGTCTGAGAACCTTTGTACAAACCAAGTTAGATGTAAATGGCTTTATCTCCTACATTTTCACCTAAAATTATATTTTGTATATATTTTCTAATGTCATGAGATAGCCTTTGAAAACATAATTTTTAGTGGCTGAAAAATATTTCCCTCTATGAACCCATCACTTCCTTATTATTGAGCACCTATGTTAGATATACATTACATACATACATATTAAACAGCTATTAAAAAGTGTTTTCACAGGCTGTTCCATGACTTAGGAAAATACTCATAGTGCAATACTGAGTTTTAAAAAGCAAGAGAGAAGTTTGTAGATAGTCTTGAAGTCTAATTTTGCAATTATGTACATTAAATAAGACAATCAAATATAACAAATATTAATGGCACCTAGGAGAAATTGGATTGTGGGTGATTTTTATTTCCTTCTTTACACATCTCACTGTTTTCTACATTTTTAAAATCACTCTGAATATATTTCTTTTTAAGAAAAAATAAATATTCAAAAATACAGTGGTCTAAAAAATTACACATAGAATTACCATATGATATAGCAATTGTGTTTCTGTGTAGATGCCCAAAACAACTGAAAGGGACTCTAACAGATATTTGCACACTAATGTTCATAGCAGCATTATTCACTATAGCCAAAGGTGAAAACAACCGAAGTGTCCAAGGATGAATAAACAAAATGTAGTATATATATACAATGGAATATTTAGACTTAAAAAGAAATTTTCATTTCTGACACATGCTATAACACTGATAAACCTTAAAAACATTATCCCATGTGAAATAAGTCAGACATAAAAAAAAATATTGTATTATTTCACTTACATGAAGTACTAA